ACATTCTTAAAAAGTACTTTAAACTGTATAAATACAATTGTAAGTGATTGACCAATCAGAAGAAAGTTATCCTATATGGTCTGAGTGAGGTGCTTGAGAACGGCCTAAGAAAACCTTAAAGTATACAGTATTCTAAAAAACGAATCACTATCACGTGACACTGCGAATTTGCATGATACCAGATACTGTAATAAAATTCCATTTTATTTTGGTATGATCAATAAATTTTAAGTATCCAATCAAAATTCAATTTTTGGAATAATTTCAGGTTAGATTGGCTATGATAATATCATTTTACTCCATTTTATTCTTAATGGAAGTATTCACCGTCCCTGAGTCTTACATAAATGTGAAATGTATGCTAGGTTATCTCGCGAGAGGTAAACCTTTAATCAAAAAGCTCCTCAGAATCTGTTTTTTTGACTTCGACCGGAGAGACAGAATCTCAAGAGTCACACACTTTAATCTAATCTGGTATCTCACCACGTACACAACGAGCTTCTTAATAACCACATGTTTGGTGAGAGTATAAATCGGACTTCGCGATAAAATATTTACAGAATATCTTAGACTATTATATGAATGTCGTCAAGGGAAACTTTTCACCGGAGTTTCAAGTTTATTGCTTACCGCACTCATTCTATAGTATCTGATTTTTTTAAGGTTTGCCCGGTAAATCATAAATTTAAAAGTCCAATTATAGGCCTTCTCTCTTAGTAAAACACAAATACTTAATGTAAATTAATGAATTCAATGAACAATATTTCGTAATGAGCATTTTTATTTAGGTTCATAATGAAATTATGGTGCGAATAGTTAAGAGTTCTGAAAATTTAAAACTATATATACCGATAGACCAGTCAAGTTTGAAAAAAGCAATTTACCGTATCAGGTATCGGTATTAGATCAAATGTAAGATTAACGTCATGATCAGACGATCATTGATCATGATCATTGCGTTAGTGTAACAAATACGGTAATCTTGCATTTAACTGAATTTGTAAATTTGACATTAACGTTAGCTTCGCCCTTAATTATAACAACGAAGTATATCCTCAAGTAATATTCCATAATGGCCGACCCCTTCAAGCCAACTCTAGCCTCCCAACAAGTCGTTGAGGATACGGGTATGTACATTTTGAAGTGTTTTCAATATTATTCTTTTATGCTTCCTGAACTTTTCATATTGAGACAAGCTTTATCGCCATACTTACAGCTAAAGTAATGGACAGAACATGGGAAACCATTCAAGAAAAAACGTTTACGAAATGGTAAATAATTAATTAAGAATTGTCTTATAAATTTGCTGTCATATATATTTCTTTTTTTCTTTCTTTTATTATAGGGTGAATAGCAAATTGGCTGACAAAAAAATTGAGCCTATCACTGACTTGACTCAGGCAATGTCCGATGGTGTTCGCCTCATTCAACTTTTGGTGAGCCATTTAGTATTTATTTAATGGTTGACGTTAGTATTTATACATGAAGCTAGGGAAGTGTCAGATATCAGTTGGGATATCGTAGGGTGGGAGGAAGTAGATAAAATTTCGAGTTTAAATATATACATAAAACCAATTAGAATGAATCAGATTGACTAAATTTTGCGAGAGTAAATTCTGGTAAATTGGGATCTCTTTTAATACAAGTGATCCGTTAATAAAAATAGATTATTTAGTCAATTGGTTTAGATGAGATCCGTAAATTGATATCAGCTTAATATCTGACACGTCCCTTAGATAGTTTCTTAGTTATTCGATATGGCTTGTTGAATTGGTTAGTCAAAAAGATTTTTAAATAGGATTTTGGTTACGACAATTAAATATTTTTATTATCAATCTGGATAAGAGTCAACTTTAATTTTCTAATATGTTATCAAATAAATTTCAATTAATTTAGGAAATTATTGGAGACTATTCATTTGGAAGATATAATAGGAATCCAAAGTTACGAATTCAAAAAGTTGAAAACGTTAATAAAGCTTTGGAGTTTATTAAACGCCGAGGTGTACCTCTCACAAATATTGGGGCTGAAGGTAAGATCGGTTATAGTTATTATGTATGATTAAGAAAAGAAATTTGGATCAATAGGAATATGGGTTTTTGCTTTGAAAATTGACCGTGTCCCAGAAGGTCACTTTCAAGGCAAAGACTCCATATAATAACTTGTTATGAACCAAATGCAATGACATTTATATTGATGTGTTATAACTATTATTTATTATTGCTTTTCCAACTTGTGTCAATATTTATCAGATATTGTTGATGCCAGTCTTAAACTTATTCTTGGTATGATTTGGACTATTATATTAAGGTTCACCATTGCTGATATTAGGTTTGTAAATTTTTACTGTAGCATAATAGGCTGGCTATTTTGTCTTTATTACTTCATATTTATATATTTTAAATTGATATTAGCCAAGAAGGACTTACAGCCAAGGAAGGTCTTTTACTTTGGTGCCAAAGAAAGACTGCTCCTTATGCTGAGGTCAATGTTCGTGACTTTACTTATAGGTATGAAACACTTATTTTTTAGCATCATTTATTTTTTTAAAAAATTAATTCTAATTATTATTTTTACTCATTAAGCTGGCAGGATGGCTTGGCTTTGTACGTTTCGTATTTTTTTTTTTTTTTTACTTTGCGAGATTGTATATATAAATATGCTTAAATGTGGTTTTCTTATACATAGTTGTGCTTTGATTCATCGGCATCGTCCTGATCTTTTAGACTATGATTCCTTAAATAAGGTAATTGCTTCAAACTACCCTTTAGAGACCAAATGTTTAAAATGCATTTATAATATCTAACAACCATATGAAAATTAGGCAGACCGACATACAAATACTGCCTTGGCATTTGAGGTTGCGGCAAATAAACTTGGCATAACAGTAAGCTGACAGTATGAATTTTTTCTTTTAATAATATATTTATGCGTTATTACTTTTAATTAATGATTGATATAATTTTCAGCAATTATTGGACGTTGAAGACGTTTGTGATATCCAAAAACCTGATGAAAGGTCTATAATGACTTATGTTGCTTTATATTTCCATGCTTTTTCACATTTGGGTATGTATTATTACTTTTATCTGGATTTCAATTCAATGCTTTTATTCTTATATATGACGTTTCTTTGTTTTCCGTTAAAAAGATAAATTTGAGACCGCAGGAAGAAGAGTTGCTAAATTTGCGGAAGTTATGCAATCGGTGTGGGACATGGAACATGATTATGAGAGACGTGTCAAACAGGTGATTTATGCTTATTAATATTTTCATTTAAAGAAAAATCAGATAATTTATTAAAATCTTATGTTTATTAAATGTTGATTATAATTAGTTAATGCAAAATATTATAAATAGAAAGAATGTTTGGTCCAATTCTAAATTTGATGGAAATTATTCTGATGCCAAACGTCAGTCTGTTGAATTTAATCAATACAAAAGTAGTGAAAAACGTGTTTGGGTATCCGAGAAAAGTGATATAGATACCTTACTCGGTAATATTCAAACTAAACTCAAAACCTATGAATTACAACCATACCATCCGCCTACTGGACTGACACTAAGTGATTTGGATAAGGCTTGGCAAAGTTTGATAGAAGCTGAAGCTAAACGATACAAAACAATTAATGACAAAATCAGAGAGTAAGTTTATTGTTTTGACTACTATAGTTACAATAAGCACATAATCACATAATTTGAACTGTATTATAAATTTATCAACCAACTTTTTTTTATATTGATAGAATCAAGGAAAGTTTACGCAAGACATTTGCTCAGTCAGCGAATGATTTTCAGAAAAGCTTGGATTCCATATCTCACTCGTTGACTGAATTAGATGGTAAATTAGATGTACGTACATAATCACTTCATTTATTTATTTTATTCTATATTTAATTAATTCTGTCGATTTACACAGGCTCAACTTGTGAAAGTTAAAAGTCTTTCAGCCAAGTTAGGTCCTTTGGAAAATTCTCTTAGACACATTGAAGAACTTGATGCACAATGTAGAGAAGCTAATGTTGAAGAAAACGATTATACAGTTTTCTCTATTGACGATTTAAAATTTGAGTTGGGGCTTGTACAGCAAGCGATCACTAAGAAATCTTCTTTCATTGAAAATCAAGTAATTTTTTTTTTCGATATTTTTATCTTTGCATATTATTTAAATTATTTACTTTATATTTAACGGAATTATTTATAATGCATAAAAGATGGTAGCAAGGAATATGACAAATCTTACACCAGCTCAATTAGAAGAATTTGAAGGCACATTCCGTCATTTTGATACCGATTCGTCGAATACATTAAATCCATACGAATTCAAGGCTGCTCTGGCTAGTTTAGGAATAGTTTATGATGTAGGCAATACTGTTTATTTATTATCGCTCTTTTCAATTTACTGTGACCATCAAATTTTGTAGATCACACATCACTGAGAATCTGGAAATCGGCAATTTGATATTCATATCCCAAACTTTTTAAAATTTGAGCGAAGATATCTCGACAACCACCAGGCAAAATTTAACGAACTTTTTTTTTATTTGAATTCTACTGATTCGTGGAATTCAAATAAAAAAAAGGTCACCTGGTGGTTGTCAAGAAATCTTCGCTCAAAGTTAAAAAAATTCAATGGAATTTTTCTCGAGCTTTGTGCGAATATATCTTGACAACCATCAACTCAATTTTGATAAAATTTTCTTTTTTATTTGAATTCTATATCTATAGAATTCAAATAATCAAAATTTGATTGATAGTTGCCGAGATATATTTGTTCATAGTTTGAGAAAAATTTCTATTTGAGAGATTTGAGTTTTTTAAAAGAGAGCCAAATTTGTTGTATTTTTTTTTTTATTTGAATTTTAGAGACATAGAATTCAATAAAAAATTATTAAATTTGATTTAGTATTTTATGAGATATCTTCACTCAAATTATGAGAAATTATGGCGCAGCTTCTGTTTTGATGGACGGTTTGAGTTTTTGAGCGAAGATATCTTTACAAATACCAAGCCAAATTCGGTCACTTTTTTTATTTGAATTCTACAGATCTGTAAAATTCAGATAAAAAAATTCATCGAATGACTTAGCAGTTGTCGAGATATCTTTGCTCAAAATTTGAGAAATTTTATTTGATAGCCACCAAGCCAAATTCGTTGTTTTTTTGTTTTTTTTTTGAATTCTACATGTTCGTAGAATTCAAATAAAAAAATGTTTATTGAATTCAGTTTAATATTTGATGAGGTATCTTTATTCAAAGTTGAGAAAATTTATCGCTTTTGATATTGAATTTTTTAAAACTTTGAGTGAAGATATCGTGACAACTATCAAGCCAAATTTGATAAACGTTTTTTTATTTGAATCCTATAGATTCATAGAATTCAAAAAAAAAAAAAACTTCATTGAATTTGACTTGGTGGTTATCGAGATATCTTCGTTTAAGGTTTGAGAAATTTTGACGCAACTTTTATTTGAGAATTTTTTAAAACTTTGAAAGAAAATATCTCAACAGCCACCAAGCCAAATTTAATAAACTTTTCTTTATTTGAATTCTACTGGTTTGTAGAATTTAAATAAGAAAAGTTCATCAAATTTGACTTAGTGGTTATCAAGATAAGAAATATGATATAAGAAAAGGCTTGAAATTTTCCATATTATTTAGCTGCACAAACAACAGCTCTTGTATATGACTTGATAAAGCATTGAAAAAGCGAAAATAGAAGAGGAGTTTGGGGAATTTTATTTGTTGGCAAGAAATTTAGATTTATTCGCAAAAAAAGCCTTAAATCGTGATGATCACAGTAAATTGAAAAGAGCGATAAGTTAATGTAAAAATACAAGTTGTAAATACTTTCATTATGTTATAGGATGCGGAGTTGAATTCAGTATTTGACCAAATGTGTGAAGGACAATCTGAAGCTTCTTTTGAACAGGTAAGATTTAACAATGATATATATATTGAACGCATTGACATAATCTATATGTGTAAATTTTCCTTTATGAACGTTTATAAATAAATTTTTTAAAAAAAAATTTTTTTTTTTAATTATTATTAGTTTATCCGTTATATGGTTAATGTTACAGAAGATAAGACTTCCCCTGACCAACTTCGACAGTCTTTCAAAGTTGTAGCTGGAGATAAACCCTTCGTAACAGAACTTGATCTAAGAAGATCATTATTACCAGAAAATGTTGTAGATTATCTAAAAGAAGCTATGCCACAACGGGAAAGTGGATATGACTATTCTAGATATTTAGATCAAGTATTTCAGGAATAAATTTATCTATTTAATGTATTTATTTAATTAATATATACCTTTTTTTTTAATCATCACGGCGAATTTAAAATTTGGTCATCAAATCTGAGTATTTTGTCCCCCCAAAGTAAATCTTAGTTACCAATTTACATATTAATAAATCGATACCAAACACCGAAAATTTTTTTTGGGCCTCTGATCTAAACTGAAAACGCGTCTAACCCATCTTCCCCATCCTTATTAGACATATAAATTTATTATAACGACGCACCTTAGTCTGGGAAAAATTTCTTATCTCAGCCAAAATCTATATTTATATCTTAGTGGTCAAAATTTTCAAAATTTGGGGTATTTCATAAATTCGCCGCAATGTTTATTATGATATTGATTTAATTTCCAGATAACTTTATGAATCTTGTTTATTAATGAGTATTTATTTTCAATTAGTATTCAATATTCTGAAAATATAAATAAATTGTTATTTGACCTCAAAAGCCTATATACTATGATTATTTAGAAAACTTGGTTATAATATTGGACCTTTAGTATCCCGAGTTGAGTTCTCAAAAGCTCATAGAGCATTTGAGATCAATTTAATTAATCATGATTTAAAATAATTTACTATAAGAACCGTAGCATTACTAAGATTGTTTTTACTAAATATTAACATCGATATATTTATGAAAATTCACATCTTAAAATCTCTCGATTCTTTTTTTTTTGATTATATTTGAATGTCATTATAAATTAAATATACAAAAGTTGGACGCATTGTCCTTTAAGAATTTTTTGCTAAAATGGTTCGTTCGTTACTATACTATCAAATAAAAGATTAATTTTTCATTCAATGGCTTCTGATAATTAAAATTAACAATAAAAAATTAAATTACAATTTAGGCTGGCCGATTCAAAAAAAATTACGTTTATACTACAAATTTACCCTGAAATTTTTTAAAAGCCATTTTTAAAATAAAATTTTAAAAATATTAATGTTGTAAGTGGAAACGAAATTTAAGTGGATTCTCCTATTAGAATACTGTCTTTATTAATCAAATTGATAGAAATTCGTCTCAAAAGTTTTTTTTAGATTAAGAATATTTGCAAATTAAATAAAAATGTCAATAATCAACTTGATTGATTATGAATAAACTTCATTAAAAAAATTAATGATTAGCGCGCGTAATTCGCGCAAAAATATAGTTGGTGATGCGTGCGTGCATTGTTTTTGTTGCACAAATATACAGATGTGATTTGTTATTTTAATAACGGATTGTTTGATTGCGTCACAGTGACTGATCATGTGAATATTTAATAACGCGATTGTTGATTTGTTGACTGTTTTGATCGCGTCACAGTGACTGATCAAAATTATATAAATATGATCAGTTATTAGTCACAAAAATTTTTTTTCTCGTGAAGCTTTTTCGAATTTTTTTACACTCAAGGTCTACTGTTTTCAAAAACGGAAATAGTTACGAACCTTCCTTAAGTAAAAGCTTCTGCCTATTGGGATCCTAGTAGGAGACTGAAATAATTCTTAAGCGTGAGCTGTATGCCGCTTCTAGCTATAGGATTCTATAGGAGTCGGAAACACCCTCCTAAAGTTGTAAACACCCTTCTAAAGTTGTAAACACCCTCCTAAAGTTGTAAACACCCTCCTAAAGTTGTAAACACCCTCCTAAAGTTGTAAACACCCTCCTAGAGTCGGAAACACCCTTAAATATTGCTTTTTTTATTTGGGACGTTGTATCGACATAGTATTTGTGTCGGTATAACGTTCCTTTTTTTTTTTCGAGTCATTTCATCAGCATAAACATTTTATTTTTTGATGAGTCATTATCTTTACGCGGTGGCAAAAAAAAGCAAGTACTGAAGTAAGTATCTTTATATATCGTTACTAAAAATTTATATATACAGAAGTAAATATTTTTAACTTATTTTATCTATTTTTCTAATTTATTTGTTTATTTATTTTTTTTTTTAATTTAGTCGCACATTTCAGCGTCGTCTTTTTTTTCGTCGTTGGTATCGTCTCTTTTGGTGTCTTTTTTGGTCTCTTTTTTTCGTCGTTGGTGTCGTGTATCTTTTCTTTCGTCGTTTTCGATACTTTTCTTTTTGTAGTTTTCGTACTGGTTCTTTGTAAGTATTTTAAATTTCTTTGTTACTTGTGTTTCGTTTCTTACATATCGTTACTCATTGTTCTTTCGCGAACTTTTGGTTTTTTTTCCGATAGGTCTTTGACGTTACTTCGTGTGTTTAGACGTTAGCATATGTTAAATAGACATTAGGGTAGATGTAGATAATTATAATAAAAGCTCTTGTCTAGTTAAGAATTTGTAAGCTGAAATAAAAATAGATAAAACATATTTGATCGATTAAATAAAACTTACACAGACTTAAAATTTATTACGTTGAGAATTTTTTTTTTTTTTTTGATCGATTATTTGTAAATTCTTATGTCAAATAGATTAAACCATGACCTTTACATTAAAAGTGATAAATTTTAATCGATTAAATTCCTTTTACACAGAAGGATAGCCTTTTGTAAAGATATTGATTTTTGATAAATATTTCTAGTGAAAAAGGGGACCTAAATCATTATCTATAATAAATTGTAAAATTCCTCGCAAAGGGGTTATATGTATAAATCTAGTCAGTCTTTCATAACTGAAGTATTGAATTAAACAGATGTATGGATCCAAATTGAATTATTCATGTTCATCGATAGTTTAATCGACTGCAAAATGATTAAATTTATTCGTATTAAAGGGGGTTATTTAAATTTTGAATCAAAAAAGTCCTTTATAAAAGGAGATTTATTTCGTATTACTACGCAAATGTTTTGTAATTATCGTAACATATAATAAAGTCACTTGGTATTTGTTTTCGAACAATATAAAACTGAATTAAAACATTATATTGTAGTTCTGGAAATTTCTACGCTACAAATCTGGCACTCTTTTCGGATGTCTTATTCTTTTTTTCGGCAGATCAAGCTTCAACTTTACCTTTAGCCGCTATTGAGAAAGCCTCTTGAGTATGATATTTAATGAACCAAACAAGCAAATTATTATACAATTTATTCGATGTCATCAGTATAACCTAATAAATGATCTTGAAAAATATTCAAGTTCTTGATAAAGGAGGTTTTAGTACGATATTTACAGCGATCTGGGAAATTGGTCCCATAACCAAATGGGAGAGTTTAGATTTACATATAGTAAATTGTAAAGTCACTTTAAAATGTACGGACAAAAAATTTTTCACGGAGTTTATAAGAGAAGTTAATATTAAATAATTTATTTTGTAGATAACTAAAATCAGAATCCCGACATGCAAAATTTTAACAGGTAATATTAATTTACTCCTCCCTACGTTTTAATGTGAAATTTTCAATCGTAGCAAATTACAAAAATTTTTACAGTTTACTTTGGTCAGGGATGTCATTTATCACGCGAGTTTACTATGGATACATGGGTCAATTGTTGACGGTTATCAGATTCTCGAAAAAGACATAATACCGACAAAGTTAGCCAGCATTAGTTATAATGCTGGCCAATTTAGTCCTATCGGGAAAATGGCTTTCAGGATTTCAGGGTAGAACCATTGTTGACAGTCAACTAGTCAACTAGACTGGTTGACTATTATCAAATACAAGCTTCGTTTTTTGTAAAAAAAAAAAAAAAAAAAAAAAAACGATCACATCCGGGTAACACGCCAGTATTGGTTTGGACGTGTTCGACCTTTAACTATGAATTTAAAAACACTAATAACAGCTTTTTATTTATCATTTTTTACGCCTCTTATTCGATCCAATTTTCATAGAAAATTTTGGCTTTCCTTTTAAAGAATCGAATTTTCTTTTTTGGCGTTGATTCTTGTTAGATTTTTCACTATCTCTCAAATTCAAATTTACATCACTATCATTACCACTATCACCCTCCCTATCATCATCATCATCATCATCAACTTTAAATAAATTATCTTCAATACCTTTCGAATAGTCATCCATGTCATCACGTTCACTCTCTAGGTCCGAAAACTCATCATCTAAGTTATCATCATCATCATCATCATCCTGATCCTCTGAATCATTCTCTGAATCACTCTGATCTTCGGAATCATCTTGGAACCCTTTTTTGATGCTGTCCTCAATGTCCGATTCCTCAATGTCCGATTCCTCAACGTCCGATTCCTCATTATCCGACATTTGTTCTTGTTCCTTAATTAGTTTTCCTATAATGTACAAGATTATATAAATTATATTGTATCACAAGAATCCAGTGGTGATAGCCAGTGTTGGAATTTCAGATCCAAATACTGTTCTCATGAGAACAGAATAATACTTATAAGTGTTCTCAAATATTTTACTATGTTCATATATATATATATATATATATATATATATAAACATAGATGAAATCAGAAAATTAAAAAGCCCCAAGTGGGAATAGATGTCAAGTGCACTTAAATGCTTATAATGATAATTTTAATTCAATCATATAAAATATACAGTAACTAAAGATTAGATTTATATTATTATTACTTAGCTTGGCATGACAAATGTGATATATAATAGTATTCTCATGAAACACTAATTTCCAACACTGGTGATAGCATTATCTAGAATGTCATACCTTTTTTTTCGCCATTTGTAGCGAGACGATGAGCCTCCTTTTCAGCTTTTTTTCTTTCAACATTCCTTTCCTGTTCCATTCTCCTTAATGCAGCTAGTTGTTTCCGTTGTTCACGTTCATTTTGTATCTTTTTGATTTCTTCAGGTGTTTTATGAACTATTTTATAATGTTAAAAAAAAATATATATTAATAATTTGCATATTTCTTGAATAAAAATAGTCAATAAAAATATATACATACCAAATTCATGATATAATATTTCTCCGTCGCATAATCCAGCCTGAATTTTAACTAATAGCAACTCCATACGAGGACCTATTTCTCTTAATTTAATAACACGTTTATCTGATTTTCGACTATCACTGCCAATAAGTTCTTGTGCCAAAGTGACAGTTGCCTCAACACCACTTTCTACCTCACTCTCAGAGACGTGTTCTTCCCTATCAATGCCAAAATATAAATGTTAGATATTTTAAAAGTTATTACTATAAAAAATACCTCTTACCTTAATACATATTCACTTATATCATTATATTTATGTAAGTTAGGAACATTGGTCGAAACAATTCTTCTCACACTTTTGCTTAAACCAGCAGGTTTCAGATCAATATTATAATGCCTAAAATCAATGTGCTTTGTATCGGTATTATAATTAAAAAGAACAACTCTACGTGCTTCTGACAATCGGATCTTTTAAAAAATATATTAGTGCTCAGTTTTTTTTTTAAAAAAAAAATAAAACAAATAAATAAATTAATTAAAATAATGTATATATGTTGCAAGTGGGACCAGAATTTAAGTTGATTTATTCCGTTCTAATCTACGTGGATTCCGAACCTATTATGATTCCATTCCCACTTACAACATATATACCATATAACATTACCTTATTAACATTAATCGAAGGAAACATATTCTGAAACATATTTATCATCAACTTCATATGCTTTTCCTCTTCTCCAAAATTGTTCAAAACTAGCTTTTTTTTAAAAAAAAGATACAAACATTATTACTCATTGCACTGCACATGAGAATATATTAGTTAATTATACATACCAAAGGTGAACTATTATACTCTTTTCCAAGGTTTTTTGGATTTATTTGTGACGCTAAAACGTCTCCAATTAATGAATATTTTAATACTTTGAAACATAAAGTGGGTCCCCTAGGTGTTCTTGTCAATCTGAGGTTAGTTCCATTATCTGTACATGTAAATATTAAGAATTGGGTAACTCCTAATGGGCCCGCTATTGATACAAAATCTTTTAGTCTATTTCTCTTGCGTTCCTTTTTTTTTAAAGAAAATTATGAATTCTATAAGCTAAGAGTAATATAATTAAGAGATAAAATGGATTATAAATAACTTACTTTTAGCCGTATAGCAGTATTAGGTTCCATCACTTTACGCATATCTTTTACTAACGCAGCTACAGATTTGCCAACTTTCCCTGACTTAAAAACAAAACTTTTTTGAATTTTTGGAGCATCAGGGTTTGCGGATTCATCCGCTTGTGGGATATGGGTTCTTCTTTTTCTTCGCTAAAAAATAAAATCTTTTTTTTTTAAAAAAATACATCTTAAAATTATAGATTAAAATTTTATTTTAGAATATACTTACTCTCCTTGCCATTAAAAAAAATTTTTGATAAAAAAATGATAAAAATATGAAGATCTTATATAAATATTGCGTGCTATTCACGTGATAATGATCGATCGGTTAAACTAAACTTTTACGACCTCAAATTAGTATTTCGCATCCTAAAATTGAAATTGTTTGAATCGATTTTAGATGGTATCTAACTACCAAATTATAAAATCGACTGGCTAGGCCGAAATTTGGCTTTAACATTAATACTGATTTGTGGCGGGTAGTTTGATTTGAATTAGTGTTACACATTATCTCTTCTCTACACAAGACATTGTTAATAATAATAATTGTATAATATTCAATTATCATGTTTATCAAATAATGATATACAAAATATTTACAGATTTATGGTAGAATTTCATGATTATATTAATTTTCAAGGACAGAAAGAAAGGAAAAAAAAAGTTGATTGCTTTATGCAATAAAACGATACGAATAACAAAGAAAATAAAATCGAAATATAAAATAAATTGATATTTCCCAGATATCAATACAATGTAAATTAACAATACATAGTATTGTCCCACCTTTTTAACACGCAACCTTGGTTTTAGGAGCAATTTTCTTATTAACCACCGTAGAATCCACAGAATATCCTGAACCTGTTGCCACATCACCATCATAATGAAATAATGCATCGATTCCAATAGTATGTTCTGAAGGAATAATGCCATCAGTATTAAATTCATCAATACTATAACTCATGTCATTTATATAAGAATTTATGTCGATATCCATTAAGTTATCGGATGTTGTAGGATCAGAATTATTAGTATCGGTAGGAACAATTGTTGGCATGAACACCTCAGACTCAAGGGAAAAAATATATACAGTATATATTATCAGAATAACATCAAGGGAAAAAAATAAACGAATTATTTAAACAAATTATTTAAACAAATTTAAAATACTTACAAGATTATTTCCGCCCGTATTTAGCATAGGAAAAGTATTATTATCATCCGACAAAGCTAAAGCTCCCATAAAAGTTTCCATTTGATAAGCAAAAACGTTATCAATATCATTCATAGCGTTAACCATATTATTTTCATTCCCTAATTCAGGTTGGTTCATATTAAAATTAATTGCATTATTAATTGCAGCGTTTTCATTGAAATTTAATGTGCTGTTAGTCAAATTATCAATATTAAAATCGTTAGCGTTAATGAGATTCTGAATTTCCTTGCAAGACGCAGATGATGGGTCAATCCCTATGTTATTAAAATTCATGATATCAGCCCAGAAAGGTGATGGTCCAAACTTAGAAAGTGAATTTTCGAGCACATGTCCAGTTTCACTTTCTGTACAAAATTGCATATTACTAGATGGAATAGACGTATTGACTGCTGAAGCATCGACACGAAAGGGTGATTCAACTTCGGACCCGTTTATATTCAAACCGTTATTATCATCGCCGTAAATTTCCGCAAAGGGGTTAACGAACATGTGGTCTAATTTGGCAATATCAAATTCTTCGTTAGGTGATTGTTCTTGGGGAAATTCTGTATCGATAAAATCTTTCTTGAATGAAAAAGGGTAGATAAATTCCGGAATGTGACTTGACTTTTCTGAAAATTTTGGAATATCAACTCTATCAAAAATTTCTTTTAAATTTGGCTTAGAAATTGATTTCGATAATTGGGCTTCATTTGAAGGTCGTTTAGAATGTGTTCTCGCCGTTGGAATTTTAACAGCTCCATCATCAACTTTTTTTGAAGTTCGTTTAGGGACCAATGGAGTATTAACTTTTTTGGAAGTTCGTTTAGAATTTGGTTTAGTCTCGATTTTCTCGATTCTATCAAAAACTTGTTTTGATACTCGTTTTGATTTTGTTTGAACCGATGAAACATTATTTAACCTTCCCAAAGTTCGTTTAGAGTCAGTTTGCACCGAAATTTTCTTGGATCCATTCTTAATTACATGATCATAACGTCCATTTCCTTTACCCGTTGTAACCTTATTTTGGATTTCAGTATTCGAATTCCTTATTTTAACACCAGATTCATTATCATCGCATTGAATATCCAAAATAGCAAAATCATTTGTAATTGAATCATGTATAATTGGTTGACCCGATGAATTTGTTTGTTTATAATAAAATCCTTTACTTTTAAGGATCTCAATACATGTATCGATTAAAGTTACGACTTTAATCGCACCATCAAGTGCTCCGTCAGGACTTTCTTGCTCTGCCTCGTGTAACATTGTCTTGATCGTGGATTTCATTGAATTCACTGAATCTAAAGAAATTATGTTATTACGAACAAGTTTTATTTTTCTGATGCTTTTATCGGAAGTCATTGTCATTTTTGTTGAATAGAAAAGAAAAAAAATATAGTAAATTCCTAGTAAACGAAAAACAATATATTCAAATTTGAAGATCAAACAAAAGAAATATTAAAATTTTATGATTTGTATGATTGAAATTATTCGTTTAAAAAGAGGGGTCATTATAATAATAATAATAATAATAAAAACGTCATGATTTCGTAGTTAATTTTAAATTCATTCTTTAGTGTGTTTAAAAAAAAAAAAATTCTAATATGCTGACACACACACGTGCTTTACTATTATATTTACATCATTATAAATTCAAGGTTGGCTTGTGAGCCTAAAAATCAACATTTAAACTTTTACGTGACTAATGCCAGTAAATCATCATTTGGAACCTATAAGCGTCATTTTTTTCATATACTATAAATCAAATATCTAATATATTGGCAATTATATACGTAAATTTAATCGTGGCTTACATATTTGGAACCGAGAAATTAGCGACTATGTATACAGTATGTTGATTATAGGTAATCGATTTTAACTTAGCATGTTTACTATTATATATAAACCATTAAAAACACGATGATATATACAATATCTCGTTATATTATTTAAATTTTAAACTATTTTTAGGGTATTAGAAAAAATTATCTATAAATCGAAGGAATTCTAAATGGTACAAGATAATTTAGTGGAATTAACAAAATATTATCATAAAATATATTAGATAGCATTTAAAACGGCACTCTCAACAATCTAATTCATAAAATCCAAAAAATTAGATCTAACAAACATAACATACTGAATTATCTAGCCGTTAGATTGTTAGAGAACTAATACATTATATTTCATTGCAAATTTTTTTTAAAAAAAAAATTAAACCATTCTAGTATATGAAAAAAAAACTAATACAATCTACTCAAATGCTGAAATTTTTGAACTTTTTTAAAAAATTAATAAATTAATACCATCCAACCAATAAAAAAGTAAAACAGGAATAATGGATACACAGCTAATGCCCGACGATTTTCTAAACGAGTTGTGGCTGTCGCGAGAAAGTTAACTGAAGCTAATAATGTTGATAATGAATGTTAATAAATTTGGGCAATGAATTAGACATCAAAATTAAGTCATATTCTATATATAAAAATAATTCTTACCCCAAGATGACCATGCAAATGCAATTATTGATAAAGGTAATCTTATAAAGGTTCTATTCTTGCCAATAATAAGAGCTATGAACGCGACTAGAACTAGCGGAAATATGCAATAACCAAGAATGCAAACGCTTTGAAAGAACGAACTAATTTTTTTTTTTTTGTGTAAAAAATTAGTAAAGAATCAATGAAACTTTTCAATAAATTATCGTAATTACAACTTACATAGTACCTCCTAAAAGCTTCGCGTTTACCGTCACAACAACCGCTCCACACCACACAATAACAAAAACACCAGTGAACACCGAAACTTTTTGGTCCCCTTCAAAAACTTCTTCTGCATTAAAACTCAGGAGCCTTATATAGTGACAATTATAAGAAAATTAGATAATCATTATTAAAAATGTATATAACACTTTCTAAAAATTACTTACAAGGCTAACGTCAGACAAAGAATTAACGGACCCCATAAATCCCCTTTCAAATCATATTGGAAATATATTCTGATTTAATCAAACATAATGTGATAAAATATAAAATAAATAAAAAAATAAATGAATTTACAATCTCGTAAGACATCTTGGTTGCCTTTAGGATAAAGGACTTGTCGCAATTTAAGTGCAATATTCCGCAAGTCTCTGAGCTTAAATGTTAAACCCAATTAATTTTACGTGAATTAAATGAGAGAATTAAACTGCAAATTTTAACATACAATTGTTTCCGCCACTGGTTCATCAAGAGTATCTGTAGCAAAACGCCTGGGGATATGACCTATCGACCCTGTCACAGAAGGTGAGTTTATATTAATAGTCGTTGATTTTGGTGAGCTTCTGGGCTTGTTAGACGATGTACGAGCAAAAGGAGACGAAAGATCCACATCATCAGGTTCTATTATCGTATTAGGATCTGTTGGAATATCTGATGAAATTTCAAAGGGATTAATATACGTATCCCCAACGGTATGAAGAGGTGAATCACTTTCTGATAAAGGAGTGAGCGGCATAGTAACTGTCTCTGTGAATTTCAGACAAAAAAAATGTCAGAAAAAAAAAAAAAAATACTAAATATGACACGCACATCAATTTAAGAATTTATGGCTTTTGTCACATTTCATCTTCAGGCTAACCCGACTTTTTAGATCAACACCTGTAATTCCTTGATCTCGAACTTTTATAACCTACTTTATGCTCTCTTTTGTATGGATTTTTTATTTAATTCAGCTTCGAAAAAACTACCTATGGTAGTCCATAAGCCTGAATAGAAATTGACAAGAATGCCAGATGTTCGACTTACTTGTATTCACGAATTTAGTCTTTAATTTAAAATTTTTATACAACTAAAACGAAGAAATACATTTATTGGGTAAATTCAATTACATGACAGCCAATCATATCATTACACGACATTTATCCTTTTGATCAAAATTTTACACCCGAAAAATTTAATTAATTCTATAATCTTGTAGAATTAAAGAAAAAATTTTGATTATACAGATTATACAGTATTTTTTATTTTATTCTGTTTTTTTTAACAGACATTATTTCATTATTTCTATAATTATTTTTCTGATCTTTTTTTCTGACATTAATATAGCTGCTCACATTTATAAAAATATACTATATATATATTTAGAAAAAAGAAATAATTTATTCCCCCCCCCCCCTAAAAAGTAAATTGTAACCAACTACTAATAGGTTAGGCTTAGAGTAAAATTGATTTTTTGTTAAAACCTCGATGGTTTTATTAATAAAATCTTTAAACCCTTTAATGTGAGTGAGGAATATTAAAAATCACTCGAGGGGAGGATTAAATACTCCTAATTTATGAATTTTTTTTTTTGGTTTTTATAATACAGTACTGTATATCTTTTAATTTTGATATATTTATACCTATGCAGATAATTTTTTTAAAACTATGAAAATTTTTGTTGCTTAAGTATACTGTATTTTAATAAATTTTTATTATAGTTTTTTTTTAAAAGTATTTAAAATATAACACTGTATTAATGCAAGATATTTTCTTGATGGATCAACAGTACTAAGCTTGATAATTTTTTTAATTTATTTCATATATATATATACTTGTGTAGTATTTTAGAGGCTTTTTTTTTAGAACCCTATCAGGAAAATTGATTTCTTTTCCTGCCCTATCAGAACATATTAACAAAAAAATTTTTTAAGATTAATCTAGAAAATGGGATCTTTGTTAAAAAATCTGGTATAAATTAAGCAAAATACAAGAATGAAGAAAATTTTTATTCTAAGAATTCTACACATTTCACGGTTAAATTTGATAAATTATGGTGGCAGTACATGACTAAAATTAATGCGTAGTATGACTAATAGTTGGGTGACCTTAATCTAAATCAACCTTATTAATATATGATTATATTGTATAAGGATTTTTTTAACAAAGGCTTCATATATAAAAATAATTTTTTTTGAAAATAATCTTGTTTTAATTAAGTGCTTACAATAATCATTATTGCAAGTTTTGAAATACATACATGAGAAGCTTCAAGAAAATTGAAGTACTGTATAGACTAATTTATAATTATAAAGTATATATATTAACAAATTAAAAATATCGCAATTAAAAGCTTAAACAAATATAGATTAGGCCATACAAACTTAATAAATCGGTTCTCATAACATAAAATTTTTAAAAGTGACCCGGCAACCCGGCTTTTAATTTTATTTTAATTTTCCTTTTATATTTATTTTAGTTTTCCTTATATAACAATATTTAACAGTTAATGAGAACAAAACTTATTATTGCCTTTTTATTGCACCTAGCCAATATATTATTTCTTGAGAAATTTGAGATATAAACTTCATCGTTGACAAAGTCATCAATTTTGTCGAATGGATCCGGAATACTATATTAGGAAAGAGAGAATAAGAGCATTAAATCTAACTAGCATACACCCATATTTAGTTGCATGATATGATATCAGCTAAGCATGAATGGTTAAAAAATAGATATCAACATCCAAGAAACAACTTGTCTGACTCGTCATCTTAGTCATCATTTATAAAGAATCGAATGAACGTATAAGAGAATAAAACATTTACCTAAAAAAAAATCAACCCTAGACCTTACAAATTCGAATTATTTTAAATTAAATCGAATTAGTTCGAATAAATAAACATAAATTAAATAAATATTGTTTACTGGTCCGTTAATGTTATTCACATAATAGACATTCCAATCTTTCATTGTAAATTTTCCAAAATATTCCGGATACTTATCTCGGACATAAGTTTCTGCTGCTGTCTTAATCTGATTCGTTTCAGGATAAATCGCTTTATCGATTAAAGCTTTTGCTGTTTCTTCAATCGTATCCTATTTAAATATATTAAATACAAATTTTGACATTCAGCTTCAAGTGATTATATTTAATAAGGTGGATAAGAATAAAGTGACGGATCATAGTAAATCGACGATATTTCGTAATTTAGAGAAAAAAAATTAGATGATTTTTATTCATTCGATTCGTCTTGCCGGAACGAACCCAATACGCAAAAATCATTAAATTCTGTTCGATGATATCGTCATTTCAATAAAATAACAATTGTTTGATACCAAAAATTTAAATTACAAGAATCAATATTGCAGATAATTCAACGAACATTCTGTTACGGCACAGACCAGTCAACGGCCAGGTTTGACCAGACCAATTTGACTAGTCTGGTCCAAGAATTTAGTACCGGCCAAATTGGTAAAGAATATTTGTATATATACCATATTTGCGTTTGACCAATTTGAGTAGAACAATCTGACTAGTGACCTTCAGACCATCAACCAATGTTGTATTAAGATCATTCTTTTTCTAAACTTATCTCATAAACTACTAACCAGAATCAAATAATTTTGCATCCTTGGATTCGTCTCGGACAGACAATATAATGGCGTAGAAATTCTCAATTCTGATTGATATATCATGAGACATCATCAAATAAATACAACCACCACACTCTAAAGTAACTGCGCAACTGCGTTGCGTCAAAACCAAGAACGGATGACCAGTAAATTATTTATTCGAAATTTTTCTGTAATTCGAGAACAGCTAAAATTCGGTCTAAATGAATGCTACTATTAATTGCATTCATTTAAACTCAAAGTATCAAAAAAGATTTGTTTGTTCTTGAGATATTAGCGGCTATTCATTTCCGATTTCACAATTATTGCGTTATCTAATAATGTAATATTTCGAGAACGAATGTGCCTTTTTTGATAGTTTTGGATTTAAACGAATACTTCGAATCTTAGCATTCATTTAAGTCGAAAAAAGTATAGCTACCTTCGAATTACTTTACATAATGAATGGATGATCATTTTCTTTTGTAAGTTCGACCTTTGTTGCTTCAACGTTTTATAGGCTTTGCGGTTTCGTCAGTTTCGTTACCCTTCATCATTTTCACCACTTTTCGTCAGAGCGAAGCCTCCAGGTTTAGCCTAACAACTACATGATGTACTATTAGTATAACTCATATTCATTTTATGAAATGAAATGTAATTAAAAATGATTATTATTGAATGTAACAAAGAAAACATAAATACCTATTATTCGGCATGACTTTTCTCAATATGATGTAAAGAAATCCCTTTACACTAAGTTAACCGAATAACCTATCATAACACTGACCTGACCTTGTGACGAAATGAAAGCACAAATGATTAATCAAAGAGTAGAATTCAAGTTTAATATGGTTATTCACTATTTAATATTTTTGGCTCAGTGAAAGCAAAATCTCTACACGGATTCTTCAGCCGGTAATTCCAGCTATTTTTGCTTTGTTTCATCATAGCACAAAAAAAAAAAGCTTCCAAAATTTTCATTACCTTAATTACCATATATTCTTACATATATTAATACAATTTATTTCCTCTTCCATATCTACTTCAAAACCTTATGTCAAGAAGAAAGAGATAGTTGTTAATTCCAATTAACAAATCGAATGCTAAATTGTGAAGGTAAAGATTTGACACTATTGGTCAGCTTTTTACAAATGATCATGGAAAATTCTTTTTCTCAGAAACTCTAGTTTGATTTATTGTATGGAAGTCATCATAAAACGTGCCATTTCACATCAATGCTTTTGTTAAAAAAATCACTTACGCACCAGTTTTACCACAAAAAAATTATAATTTTTTGAAATCAAGTTTTTTGAGTATCGGATGTTTTTTTTTCAATTTATAAAGTTTTTTTATTATTAATAAAAAAAAAAAAAAAAAATTCGTGATCTGAAGTGTTACACGCATATCAAATTCATATCCCAAAGTTCCGGGTCGGAATACATCGGAACCCTGGTCGGATGGGCCAGAATTGACCAAATTTGCCCAAGATAACTAAGAATTTTGTTCATTAAGTAAAAAAATGCCAGCTGATAATTTTATTATAGCTCTGTGAAAAAATTTTACTGTCATTGTGAGATTCTACTCGAACTATCACGATCTGATTGGACGAAATCGACAGTAATCCCGTGATACATTAACCGTGAATTAAACGGTTAACAATTAAATAGTAATAGGTATGAAAATTTTGGGCGTTCCAATCCCTAATTACATTAAATAGACCAGTGCTGTTATTTGGATAGTTGTAATATAAAACAGTCCAGAATCAGTTTATATATTTGCTATATCTGTAGATACTAGAAAAAAATAATAGCTAGTTTTCTAAAAAATTCGTGGAACGAATTTACAGTACTGTATAAAAATTTTAATTAGTGATTAAGTTTTTGCACATTTGCATAATTCTTACCTGAACCGATAATTTAAGTCAAGGACACGGAATTTATGCGATAAGAATTTGCGATTTAATGTGGTTAAATGATGTTAACTGAGCATAAAAAAAAATTTTATTGTAATTTTTTGAATACTGCACACAATCAAATTTTTAAATACAACAAACACTCAACTGTTCTTTTTACGATTATCATCGTTAATTAAAAAAACACTTGTTTGAAATAAAATTTAAGAGTGCATCAGTAGTTATATTGAAAATAAAAAAAATTAACTACTGTATTTGACAAAAAAATTTAGACAATGTAATTCTTTTTGGATCCATACAATTTTTTCTTAAAACGAATGTATTTTATTTAGGGTTTAATGTTATTTTTTACATTCTAACATACTATTATTTAAATTACACTTTATTTCACTTTTTAACACTATTAATCGGTTTTTATAATAGTTTTTATAATAGTTAAATATACAGGATGAATCAAGTTGATAATGAATACATGTGACATCGATATAATATAAATGATGTAGAAAGTTTTTTTTTTTTTTAACGAGTAATACCGTATTTGCGCGTTATTTCGGGACGCGCATGCACGGTTATTCGAATCATTTTGCCAAATTTGGGTTACAAGAGGAAGCCCACTTTTTATTAGAACTTAGCCTGGAAAATTCGATCAAATATGTAATATAGTATATTTAAGGGGCGCTATTTTGGGACGCGCATGGGCGTTATTTGAGTCAAAAAAACAAATTGAGGTTTCAAAATAACACCCACGTGCGTTATTACGCGCAATTTTTCAAAGGTGATCTAAAATTTATTATGAATGTAATTTTTTTTTTTTTTTTTTTTTTTTTTTTTTTTTACTAGTGAAACTTTAATTATTCATAAAAAAAAACGTCAGAAGGAGACAATGGCCACTGAAGTTTCAATGTAAAAAGAGACAGGTCTGAATTTTGATCTACAGTGTTTTAAACATTAATCTATAAAACAAAATAAATAATTATGAATTTATGTTAAATAGGCATATCCAACTTCAAGAAGGTAAAGGTACTAGTCTTACAGCCATATACAAACACAAAATCTTCAAAAAGATTCAGTTAAGATGGTATGTTTAAGTCTAGAAATTTCTTGTAACCTCAGATGTAATTTAATTTAATTTTTTTTTTTCAAAAAAAGATGATTGCTAGATAACACCATTTGGTATACAGTCGGTAGTCGACGAACTCAGTGGGGTACTAGCAAGCCTCACTATACAGTCGGTATTATAGTAATACCGTATAAATATAGGGAGGAGATGCCGAAAGATGCCAGAGATGCAGTGAGAAAATTGGACAGATAAGATGTAGTTGCCAATATTAAGAACTTTATTCATAATCACCTGATGTGAGGTGTTGTGAAAGGCGAAAAGAAAATTTGAAGTGGGTTACAATGTATTGAGGAATGATATGCAGAAGTTATTAGGGATAATAAATATCTGCTGCCTCTACTGCCTCCCTCCATACTTGCACGTCACCGTTATGCCCTCGCAAGGGCTAACAGAACTGGTGAATGATATGCTTTCCTCAACTTACCTGCTCCCTCACACCAACAGTAGTTATATGTGTTTTTTAATTTTTTTTTTTCTTTCTTATATAATTTAGTAAATTTTTTCCTTTTCTTTCGATCCTTTACATATATTATCGTTTGCTTTCTTTATAAATAAAAATTCTTTATAACTGTTCTGAACTGGTTTTTGTCACTAAAATAAATACAGTATCGAAATAAGAGAATTAATCATCATATAAAAGGGTTTAAGAACTACAGAGTATGAATATATGGACTGCCATCAATAGAAATAAGGCAGATTGAACATTTTAAAAAAAATCAATGCCTTTCCGTGATAATTAACCAATTAACTTACAAAATTTTTAAGAATTAATACTATATATACCAAATATAGGACCCAAAAAGGTACTACTAGAAAACTTCGCTTAAAGAAGCTTACAAACCAATAATTACACACAAAGAATTTATTGCATAAAGTTAGAAAGTGGATAGATACGCGTAAAGTGGAATGAATGTACTGTAATATTTATTATTAAATACCCAACACATTAAAAAGTTAATATGTGAATAAATTTTTAGCAAAACTATCTTTGTTCTTTATTTATTATCTTTTAAAAAAATCAAAGTAATTCGATTTTATTTTATTATTATGACCTTTATTAGAAATATAACACGACCTTTAGTTCATATAATTAATAAACAATAATACTTATAGACCATACCTACTACTTAACCCGATGTTTAACTCTATTGTATAATACTGTATTCAGAATATATAAATAAGAACATTAGTATGAGCTTTTTATGATAAAAGCATGTTAAGTGGTATAACAAAGTTCTTTAGGTTTAGATCTTATACATAACGTCTCAATCTTCTTTATTTTTTGTTGGCCATTTCCAGCATTAGAACTTACATACAGTTAATATAACTAATACTACAATAAATAGTAAAAAATATTCGCTTTTAAGTAAAGTTCTTGGGTTACTGATTATTTCTGATTATTTTTGCACAATGAATATAGATGTTCTAACGAAGTGAAAAATGACTTTTGCAGTGATTTTTTTATTAGTGAAACGTTACGTTCTTTAAAGTATATAAATAAGTTACCCGAGCAATTGATTTATCAGATGAATGTCCTTGACTTCCATATGGGGAGTGTTGGCAATTTTTAATGGCCAACCAATTTTTTTGGCCTTTGGCTAGCCAAGTGGCCAAGTGACAACACTGCATATGGGTTACACAAATAATTTTTAGAATTGCTTTATTCTTAATTCTGCAATTCACTCTCTAAACATCTCAAAATGAATGTTAAAATAACAACTCCAGAAGCATATAATTGCAAACAAACAACTTCTTGAATTAGTAAGATATTTAAATGATGTTTGAGAACATTGATACAACAATGAGCAAAATACGACTAACGACCATAATAATAGATCTTAACACAGATTGAAAAATCATTAAAAGGAAATCAAACCCGTGATGTTGATGTTGTCGAGATTTCTCTTTCTGTCAATGAACTTAATAAAGTTGGTATACGTAATGCAATAAACGCAAAATACGATGTTGAAATTATTGACAGTAACCTATTTATTAAAGTGAGTTTCATTCTGACTTATACAACCTATATGACCTACATGTATATTGACAACCTTGTATCAGTTTGATGGTGGAGTCAAGGAAAGAATCCATACTCGAATAGCATTTTCATGTAAAACGCAAAGACAAGAATAGTTTATACAAAGTGACATAATATGTATGGTTGGAAACAGTCAGCTTCGGCCTGATGTAGGCGTATAGTTCTGAATGCTAACACATGCACAAATAATTGATCCTGTTGCAAATTTTTGTCCACCACCAGATATTTGGATTGAGGTAAAATTATATTAATTTTCTATTAGAAAGAATACAACAGCTTGGCTTATATGATATGGACTATTTTAGATATTCTTTAATTGAGATCCAGATCGTAGTAATGCTATAAACAAAATTGATTTTATTTAGAGAACTTGAGTAGGTATCGAATTTGTTGGAATCTGTATTCCCCATTCACAGAATCCTATTTCTCCGAATCCATATCCAAAATCAACTATCACTTCTGCAACCAGTCAAATTATCAGACCTTACAGAGCCCCATATGTCATTTATTGGGACCTAAATGGCAATTTAATCTACTATATAATGGACTAGAATCTTAATCTTACACTTCGGTGCGGGTTGACAATTGATTTCAATATTGTACTTGCTATACTTTCTGGGTCTTATTAGACTGTAGTCCAACGTACAAATTTTACTTACCAATACAAAGAAAAACATTAATTGACTGCATATCGATCTTAATTGCTAAATAATATTATGTAATCAGAATTATGTTTATGTGTGATCACGGCTCATAGTATATACTAAAATATGAATATATAATAACAATTTGCACATGCTTAAAAAATAATAAAGCCCGAAATGTGGATAGATTCTTCTTAACTCATACAATATGCAAGTCACAAATGCCTGACATTTTGGCTACTTTTGTAAATGTGCCACTCTAATCCTCTCAAATTTGAAAAAATAAAATTCATAATTAGCAAATATAGAAATTTGGATACCTATACATAGCGGATACAAATAAATTAAATCTTGGACAGATTTTAAAAAGAAATGTAGTGGCTATAAACGAATTGATTTAAGTATTAATAATATTCGTATATCAACTTGTGTTCATATCTTAGTTGCACAAGCCTTTATTCCTAACCTAAAAAATAAGCTTTATGTTAACCACATTAACGGTATATATTAAGCTTTATAATTAGGCCATTAATTTGAAATAGGTAACTCCTAAAGAGAATGCTGAACGTAAAATATTCACAAATACTGGCTGTGGTGGCTCTAGGCATATTGTGCAGAAAATATTAGATAGAAATGTTGTTCAGATTTGGAATTCAATTTCTCTTGTAGATAAACCACTTAAAATCACAGGAAATAGCATTTCAGAATGTTGTAATAGAAAGCAAAATACTGCTGGTGGTTGGCATTAGATATATTATAAAGATTACATAGAACCAGATCTCAATGAAGAATAGAAAGAAATAGAAGTTAATTTATAAAAATTTAAAGTTTTATCCTTAGGCAGAGTTCAGCTACTGAATGGTGTAATTACTCAAGGATCTTTATATGCTGGCTATTACGAATTGGCTATATTTACAAATATAGTGTTTATCATCAATATTTTGTTCCAAAGAAGAGGGCAAAGAATTTGTGAACCACATTGGTGGCGATTCTACCACCAACAACAAAGCATCTAATCTTATGATGGTCGCATGAAAATAACCACCTGATCAGGTGATATTAATATTGCATCATAAATACATACTCTCAAATATATAGCGATAGTAGTTTCTTTTTTTTAGCGTAATGGCAACTACAGTTTCAGGAACAGAGAGTAGCTTTGAGATTAGTGAAGAGGTTAGTGGAGCTAGTGGTCGTTCAAGTAATAAAGGTACTGTTTTATTATTGATTAATAAACATGAAATAAAATATTTACTTATAAAATAACGCGTATTCTCATAACATACAGTACAAAACATACGAAGACATTTGGGTCACTTCCTAAAAAAAAGCTAGTTAACTTGATTCAGGATAATACAGAATCTAAGATATTAATAATGTATTTCATTTTTGTTTGAAACATGCATTTTGAATAAGCCAACAATCTGTTTCTCTTAGGTGATCACTCAAATCGAAAATGAAGTTAATACAGAACTATGCAAAGTACACGATGTGGATATTATAGAACTTGAATTGCCACATATAAAGGCCAAGGGCAAGAAACATGACAAAATATTTAAAACGATCTATAATATTTTTAATGTTGAAATTGTTGATAATAAATTATTCATTAAAGTGGGTTACTATTTTGTTTTATAATTATTTTACATTTTTAATTATTTGTTACTATTCAGTTTAATGGAGGACTTAAAACAGAAATACATAAGAAATTGGTATATTCGCTTGATCAACAACTTCCAACTTGGTGGAATCAGGTTGACTCAATATGTGTAGTTAACGGTAATCAGTATCGACCTGATGTGGGTGGTTGGAATACTAAGCCACCACTTAGTCAAAGATTTTTTTCTATAATTAATCCATGTCCACCACCGTTGCTATGGATTGAGGTGAAGATCTTATTCCCTTATCTTCAGAACTATGCAACTATTTTCTTGACAATCAGCTAAAATATTGATAGATGACCTATATTAATTCTGGGGATTGTGATAATGCTATAAATAAATTCGCACGCGTTCAACCCCACTGTCCGACCACAGAATTTGTAATTGTCATTGTTCCAGCTACTAAAACCCCCCTTTCAGCAAATTCAAATTCAGACATCAGTTCAGTTGCGGTAAAACCCAAAACGGCTCGTCCATCTCATACTCCATATCTTGGCCATTTATCTGCAGGAAATATTATTACTGCAATTCAATGGTACAAGATAGAATAGAATAGGCATCTTATATTAGGATACAGAGCAAATATAGATTTTAATGATATACTTGAAGTCTATGCATAAAATTTATAATCAACAAATCAGATTATTATACTTTATTATGCACAAAAATTTATATGATATCGGTATCGGAATCTAATTTGCAATAAAAAACATAAAGATTTGCTATGTTATGAAGCAATATAGAGGGTGTTTCTACTATTCATTAGCTGCCTGATATAAAAGTATCGGAGCAGCATTTTGTCTCAAATCAATCACGGGTAGTGTTGGCAGTAGAATTACTGAATTATGGCATTTTACTATATGGTAGAATTAATTACGGCACATAGCCCAATTGCCGTAAATACTATGTACCATAATGCCACAATACCGCAATGCCGTAATGCCGCAATGCCGTAATATCGTATTATAATACAATAGCAGATAAACCTTTGTATAATGCAATACCGTAATGCTATAGCATAATAATCATAATGTAACACAATAATGCCAAACCAGGAACTTAATCAGTGATCTTTATATACATCATCATTATAATTATTATAACTTTAGGTACTGGACTTGAGTTTTAAAAAGTTGCTAAAATTATTGACTATTTAATAATTTATAATTACTATGTGATGACATCAAATTATTATTGTTATTAATTCAAGAGGCCCCATCACTAGGCGCGGGTACAAATATTCATAACAATAAGTAGTTAGGCCACGCAAATTTAATTTATTAGTTTTCGTAACATAAAACTTTTTAAATAGACCCGGCTGGCTGGCTTTTTTTTTTTAATTTTATATATAAAAATTTATAAAATTTTTTTTAGAAATTTTTTAAAAACTTGCCCGGTTATTAAAACATGTAAAAATTTTTTTATAAAAATTTTTAAAATTTGACCCGGCCAGGTTACGAGAACCAATTAATTAACTTTGCATAGCCTTATATTTAATTTACTATATTCTACTACTAAAATTTCTTAAAACCCCTATTCTTATTTTAATGACATTTTTGCCAAGATAATTTTGTGAATAATTTGAGTATTTATTATGGTGAGTATAATTATAACCAATATATATATTTTAAACATAAGATATTTAAATTTGTAGGTATATATTATATTTACATTATACCTTAATTTCGCATTAATCTAGTTCGAGTAGGTATATTAGATATTATTTTAAGTAACTTCAAGAGAAAATGAAACTTCAATTATATAAATTCTGAATGATTGAAGTCACATTTCTCTTGGCATTACCATTTATTACTGTATTAATTAGTATATTTTAAGAAAATACAGAGTAATATAAAGAATGTTCATAGTCAGTTATTTAAAACAAAGATATTTGTGAATCTTTGTTAGAGACTTTCAAAATAATATATTTTAAAGAGAAAAAATCAAATTTAGAATATGTATGTCAAATTAAACAGTGCATTTGGTGATTTATATTATATAGTCTAAAATGTAATTAACAATAAATAAGATTACATTTAAATCTCTTATGTATTATACTTTTTGCATTAATTTAATCAAGTAAACTTATTATTATTTTATTCTGCTCACTCCATCGATGCTTCTTTTGTAGACACAAAACTTTACCTATGACTAAAATATAATATAACATTCTTTACTATTACCAATTTAATTATAAATAAAATAACTACATTGTAGATCTGCAGCTTGGGCATTTACATCAATTGTTAATTGCTTTCACAATAATAAAAATATAGAGCAAATTAGGATAATATGAAACAATTTGGGAATTTAGAACATTCAAAAACAAATCTTTTTATTTTAGGATAATCTAAAACAAACTTTATTCCCAACTATAAGAAGTAATCTTGACTGAACAGTAAAAAAAAAAAAAAAAAATTAAGATCTTTCACTACAATCATTGATTATCTATTCACAAAACCAGTAAATTTACTGTACATTACACAGGTTGAACATAAAAATATCTTCCTTCTAATATTCCTATATTATATATTGATAGTTTAATGAGATATTATAACTATATATATCTTGCAGAAATTTGCTAATACTTTAATTTTTTTCTGCAAGAAGATTTCATCTAGATTTCGGACAGGGCAAATATCTAGAAGAAATTTAATTGATATTTTGGTTAGTATATTGGAGAGTTCTAGTGAGATTTTTTTAGATATTGGACAAGGTAAATATCTCAAAGAAAGTTGATTGCTATTTTGTAGAGAGTTTTAATAGGATTTTTTTAGATATCAGGCAAGGTAAATATCTCGAAGAAAGTTGATTGATATTTTGTTGTTCTATCAGAGAGTTTTGATGAGATTTTTTTAGATATTGAACAAGGTAAATATTTCAAAAAAAGTTAAAATTGATATTTTGTTGTTCTATTAGAGAGTTTTGATGAGATTTTTTTAGATATTAGACAAGGTAAATATCTTGAAAAAAGTTGATTACTATTTTGTCATTCTATCAGAAAGTTTTGATAAGATTTTTTTTAAATATCAAACAAGATAAATATCTTGAAAAAAGTTAATTGATATTTTATTGTTCTATTAGAGAGTTTTGATAGAGTTTTTTTAAATATAGGCCAAGTAATATCTTCAAGAAAGGTAATTGATATTTTTGTTGTTCTATCAGAGAGTTTTGGTAAAATTTCTTTAGATATTAAACAAGTAATATCTCAAAGAAAGTTGGTTGACATTTTGTTGTTCTATCGAAAAGTTTTGGTAAAATTTTTTTTAGATATCAGATAAATAATATCTTGAAGAAAGTTAGTTGATATTTTGTTGTTCTATTAAAAAGTTGTAGTAAAATTTCTTTTAAATATCAGACAAGTAATATTTCAAAAAAAGTTAATTGATATTTTTATTGCTCTATTAGAGAGTTTTGGTAAAGTTTTTTTAAATATTGGACAGGTAATATCTTGAAGAAAGTTGATTAATATTTTTGTTGTTCTATCAGAGAGTTTTGTTAAATATCAGACAAGGATAATTTCTCAAAGAAATTTTTACTATAAAACTGTCTAAATATTAATAAAAGATATAATATAGCTATATATTAATATATATAAGATATTTACTAGCTGATATTGCTATATAAAGTAATATACATATATTATTTCTACTTGGATAATAATTTATTCTAGTATATGATTAGATTTGATGGGTTTATATTGCTTAAAACTGTCTAAATATTGATAACATATTTAAAAGATATTTGCTATCCAATAAAGTTATATATTATATAATAGATATCAGCTAGCTGATACTCATATATCTATATAAAAGTAAACTGTAAAAAGTATATACAGTATATTGGGTTTACTAATTTCCCCACTACTTCCTATTGGATAAATACAAATAACATTTTTTATTAAACGAAACCAATTACATTATTAATTGGAGTAGCTAAAATTTTATATAACTATCTAATGCATTGCAATTAAAAAATAAATTACTTCTTTTTGCAATAATTATATTGATTAAAAATTTTTTTATTTTAAAAAAATAATTATTTTCAACATTTTGCTCTTTTGGGTTTTAGTACTTTTAAGTTTTTAGTAATATTTTGTATAAACATTTAAATAAACTTTTGCTAAAAATTTTTTATTATATTCACTTTTTTAAATCATATATTTTTTTTTTTTTTTTTTTGTTCAAATTCAGCAATCATGCCACAACTTTATTAGGCTTTGTACAATTTTTATAGAACGGTAAAATTTTACGAAAAAGATTTATTGGTAAGTGATAAACTTTGAACAAGTCAGCAGATAGTATATGAGAACTATCTCTAAATAACAAGTGCCGTACCCAAGGTACACCCTAAGTCATCTAAATTACGAGTTGCAACTCATCTGGTTATCCCAATTGGCACCTATGTGCGACCTGCTATAGTAGGTTTTTCCTCCATCCAGCCCCTCCTGAATTCAGATATTGACTAGCTCTCAACAGATGGTATCTACTGCCTGTCATAACTACCTCTCCTTCTTTCAAGCTTCTTCCA